AGAATCATTTATTAAAAGAGGTGGTATACTTGTGTCTTTTGATTTCATACCTGTAATTTGATTTACGATTTTCCACCAATTCTTATTAGAGGAGTTGTTATTAATAACTTTTTTTATCAAGGAATTATTAAAATCTTCTTTAGATTTTCTTACTAAATTGGTAACTTCGTTTCGTATTTTCCTAAATTTATTCCAGTCTTTCGAATTATTACGTCTTTTAGCAATTTTGTGTATTCGATTCTTTTTCCTTAACTTTTTCTTTATTTCATTAGTAAGCCAAGGGGGTTGATCCTTACGAACCGTTATTATTTTATTTGGAATACATTTATCGGCTGCATCTAAAATAATATGTGTGATATTTGCCGTCATGTCTTCAATATTATCTGAATCTGTTATTGAATTCCAATTATTTCCGGACAAAATATTTCTGTATTTTGTATAGTCGCCACGATCATACAACCATATTTTACGTTTGAAAGATTTATGACAGGTTTTGGGAAAATTTAAAAGACCAATAATAGGACAATGGTACCTCAATTGATCAAGAAGTGGCGGACCAACGCCACAGTACGTAACAGCATTTACGTTGTTTGTAATGAAAAGATCTAAGTCTAGGTTAGTCTATGGAAAGGTATATACTATGAAATTTAGAGCGAGGGGCTTGCCCCGAGCTCTTAATTTCATAGTATATACCTTTCCATAGACTATCCAATTTAGCACATATTTACAACTCGAGTAATCTTTTAATTGGTCTATTGATAGTTTATTTTGGCTGACTACTTGTATCACAGGTGTTTGTAAAACGGAGCACATTAACGAATTTTGTAAATCTACTCACTAGACTAAGTATCATTGTAAAATATGTGATTTCAAAAGGCCCTTCACTCCAGAATGAAAAGATGGTAGCTGCTGGTGTAAGTATGCATACTGATATAAAGCGGTGTTTTACTATACATGTTCTTCTTACAAGGTAAGATGACATAATAAATTGACCAAAAGCAGGTAATAATTAAATTGCAGTGGAAGCTTTACATGTTTTGAAAACATTTTTTTAATTTCACAGTAAAACTAAAGCTATAATAAATTTGAAACATATAGATAATTTGTCCCCAAAGATATAGTCTATCAGATAGGCATTAAAAGGCAACTACAAATAGATCAGAGATTATAGGTTTTGTGTTTTTTTTTTTTTATTAGTTCAAAGTAAAAACTAAAAGATTTATCAGAATATGTTTATATATATATGCACATTATCTTCAGACATAATCACAGTTTTTCAATTCATGACATCGTCCTGAACATGCATGAAATATTTGCCACTGGACATTAAGCAACCTATAATCAATAAATCAATCAATTCATGACGAAATAGATCACTTTCCTTAAGAAAGTTTAAAAAATTATCACCAAGTTGCTTTAATTTTCCTTCACAAGGTTTCATAGTACACACTTTTCTGTGTACAAAGTAATTGCATGGATGATACATTATCATAATTTTAAGATATCGTTGTACTCTAATCAAGGTATAAAGAACCATATGTATTACCCTTTATTTAAATGATAAAATTTGCAATTGTCAAAAACATTTTTTAGATCCAAAGATTTTAATAGCAGGATATTTAAAAATCAATGTGAAAACTAATTACAAACTATTTAATTTAATTTGGAACACAGCATTTTATTTCAAAATAGCCAGTGGCAATTTTTGTTTTAAATATCTTGATTACGATACAATGAAATCTTACCCTTGTGGTCATTCATGCGTAGTTACTTAGTACACAGGAAAAGTATGTACTATGAAAATTAGAAGGCAAATATAAGCAATTTGATTGGACGAGAAGTTGTAAGTATGTGCTAACAACGAAGAAGACTGTTCAGTAAAATGTGTTGGTTCGTCTATCAACTGATTCAAACTGAACTGTGTTAATAAAGGTTTAATCTTAGAGTTAGCGCAACTTATTTGATTATCATTAAAATCGCCAGTAATCATTATGTAATCTACATGATTGTCGTTTAAGGCCATATCTAGTGAGTTTTCTAATTTCACCCAAATATCTTGCTCGCAATTAGGGGGGATATAGAAAGTCCCAAAGAGAACTTTTTTACCATGTAATTTTAGTTCTAGCCACACAGATTCAAGGTTGTCCATTTCTATGTCTTGGCGTCGATGTGCAACTAAATTATTTTTAACATATACGACAACTCCACCGCCTGTTTTTTGTGGTCCCCTATCTCGACGGAAGGGGCTATGATAATTTAGTAACTTTATTGATTCGTCTGTGTTATTATTGTTTAGCCAAGACTCCGTAAAAGCTAATATGTCAAAATCATCATACTCCGCTTCTATAAGGTCCAATTTTGGTACGATACTTTGAATATTTAGGTGAAGAAATGACACAGATTTTGAGAACAATTCAGAAAAATTTGATAAATCAGCAATGTTAACGGTACTAACTGAGGAGTTTAAATCATCATTCGGACCAGGGTTTGTTTCTAAGCCTGCTATTATTAACAGCATTTGAACAATAACAAGTATGAAAGAGAACGCAACTATAAATAATACATCACAGGAAGCATTGCTTTTAGTACATACATTAACATTTTTACAAATTTGGGATTTAGCATTTTTATTATATATTAAGAAATTGATCAACAGTGCTAGTGCGACTGCTTTCAATTTTGTTTTGCTAAAAAGTATTAGGTTGATACAGAATACATCAAGATATGTAAGTCTCTGTTTAATGTTAGTACCTGGAATAAATAGGCCAACTCTCATGCGATATTGTTCAATACTAATACCCATTTACTATGTAACACCTGATTGGTCTCTTTGAAGATGAGAGCGGCCAACTTCTAAACAAATACATCTTTGCATTTCATTTTTACAAAAGTAAGGGAAGTACATCATTTCAAACAGTTTGTGAGAACAAAATATATACAACAATACATTTAATACAAATAAAAAAAGAAATAAGCACATTTATGTGACTATGTAGAGGTATATGTACCTCTGGCGTAGGAGAATAAAGAAACCTTAATTATTATGATTAAAGAAAAGATCAATACTACAACTTTGTTAACAATTCACATGTATAGTTATTATTGAATGGATCCCAAAAAAAAATTGTCCAATCAAAGACAAGTTTGAGCAAATAAGACATGTGATTGGCCAAGAAGTCACGCACAAGTAAATAATTTTACTATCGGCGCTTGGGATAGTAAATTCCAAAATGACCTGTAAAAATAAAAATAAAAACCAAAGTTTACTCATATATAGAATGAAATTAAATTTTAAGTGATAAACATTTGAAAAGTGGTCGATATTTAGAATATTTTCTGTAAACTACGGAATTAATTCACAATTAGTATACATTTAAGAATTTAATCGCACATTATCTTAAGCGATTCGAAAAAAATGTTACTTAGAGTGAAAACAAGTTACCCACAAAGAAATATAATTTGTAAAGTGCTAGCTTTATAAAGGAATGACAATAAATTATAAGATTATAAAACTGTCTCTTAAGAATACAATTGAAGTGGCCATGCATAATATAAATATAAAGTTGTAAAAAGAAAAAAAAACATTTTAATTTCATTTATAAAAGTCTATTTACGATAACAGTACTTAGGAGTGAGGCTCACTTCCAGATTCCAGATTTGCGTCGGATACTGTTGGTGCTGTAGATAATGTTTCAGCATAGGATCGAAGCCTGCACGGTGTTTCGTAACTCGGCGGTCTTTGCAGTTTTCTGTTGTAATCGAGTCTGTCAAGAAAGTTTTTAGCTCCTGGACAGCAGTAGACAGAGACGAAGTTGAGAAAAGCTGCCATTGTATTGACTTGGTGGACATGTTCAATATTATCCTTTACAAAGATTTTGCCGTTCACGGTCCATGTATCTCTTATGTGATGCTCAATACGAAGCTGTCGAGCTTTAAATGCAATGGTGTTCCTGATTTTTGTGAGGTCCTCATTTACCCTGATATACCTGAGATCTCTGTTTTCTCTCATCGCTTTTTTACATTTCAGTATTCGTTTCTTAGCAAAGTGGTCTTTCAACTTAACAATCACCTGTCTGGGACGAGGTGGAACAGAATTTCTCGCACTGTTAGTATTATCGGAGCCAGTACGAGGTTGACCAATACGATGGGATCGAACAACGTCGTTAATATCAATACTCTTATCAACAGACTTCAATAATTCTTTGACCAGCTCTGTCGTTTGTTCTGATGTTTCGCTACTCCCTCCATCCGGTATACCATTAATACGAAGTAAATCGCGACGACCGTACTGTTCTAAGGCATCAATATCGTCGCGTAGACTTTGGTTCTCCTTTGATAGTTTATCTATTTCGGATTTGTATTGTTGTATTGTTGCTTTGATGGTATAGTCTATCTCTTCATGTAAAAGTTCTTTTAGTTGAAGAGCTATTTTTACAATATCGGACTCAGCCAAGGAGCAAGTAATAGTTTGTGATGGTATGTTGGGCTCTTGTACTTGTTGGTATTGGAGTGAACTGAGACCTGCTGAAACAGTAGCATGATGTATTACAGATGGGTCAATATCGACAGGAGGAGAGTCTGGGTCAGATTGAGACGACATAATGTATCTTTTTACAGATTCATTTTCAGGTGGCGATGGCTTGCTGAGACGGCGAAGTCGATTGGTGTTATCAGGTGTTTGCATTTGTTAAATGTTATATGTAAAAGTTGATTTCAATAGTGTTTACAGTATACAGGTGACAGATTGTTGCATATTTACCTTCAATTTCGTTGAGAAGAGTTCACAGATATAAATAAATAAGTTATATACACAGCTATATACTAATGAAATTTATACATCAAATCCACATTTTGACGAAATATATCCTCAACGATCAATTAACCAACCATTTCATATCCTCCTAGAGGTAAAAAGTGTCTTTACGGATTACATTTTCAAATTTTTCTTGGAGCAAAAGAAAACACGTCCATTACCAAAACAGGCATGCGCATATTTATAAGCAAGTTGGTCCGGTAAATGTTGTGTAATATTGTTCACATCCAATGTTTGACTGGTTTCGTTTGCTCCGATCTGTAATTGTCAGTAATATTAAACCATAAACTGTTAGATGCAGGAATATCCACATTATACAGCACAGCAGTATTGATTCCTCGGATTTAATTGCCTCTTCATAAAAAAAATCTGGCCAAAGGAACCAGGTTCATAATTGTAAGGCGGTTCACATAGTGAAATCCGATTTTTCATCTCTATATTCACGAGATTCTCTTTCGGAATCTATAACATTAGCTCGCACGAACAATGACCGTAGTTTGAGAACTACTTTCACAATGCCTTAAAAATCATAATTCCAGATATGCTAATCGGAACCATTCTCTACGACAATCCCGATCGGTTCTTTTTGTCCGTTTATCAGTTGTCGTTCAATATCCGTTTGATTAAGAATTTCTCCATTTATGGTTTGGCGTTGCCTTGTACAATTTATTCTGATGAATTTAGATTTATATAATAAACATACTATTATAACAGCAACTAATATAAGAACAAATGCAACAATAGGTCCTATAACCGTACCAATATTATTTGTTTCACCAGTTGTTTGAGACAGCTTCGTTACGTTTTCTTTTGGCATGACGGTTGGTACATTTGTTTTCCAAATATTTGCAGACGTTGTAGATGTTGTTTTGATATTATAATGGGTTAACTTGTCTGTTTGTCCTTTTGTTCTCCACACGCTTGGTCCTTTTGTTTTCCACACGTTTGGTCCTTTTGTTGTCCACATGTTTGGTTCTTTTGTTTTCCACATGTTTGGTCCTCTTGTTTTCCATACGTTTGGTCCTTTTGTTGTCCACATGTTCGGTCCTTTTGTTTTCCATACGTTTGGTCGCTTTCTTTTCCATACGTTTGGTCCTTTTGTTGTCCATACGTTTGGTCCTTTTGTTTTCAAAACATTGTTTGGTAACTTGAATTCATTCCGGGATTTAGTTACGCCGTTAGAAGAAATTTGTTTATTTAATTTAGATTTAGAAGGGTGAACTGACTTATTGACTTTTCCTCTTCTACCATCCAAAACATAGTCTGGTAATTTGAATACATTTCGGGATTTTCTTTCTAAGGTATGTGCTTTCGTCAAATGGTATGGTGTAGTACTTTGTATAAAGTTGAATTTAATTGGAGATTCGTTTTGTAATCTTGATTCCGATAATACAATTTCCTTTTTTTCTAATGGATACTGTTGGGTTACAGGAAATAACAAGACGATAAAAACGATCTCTCTAATCATGATTTCCTGCAACATATATAAACACTTATCATAATGTATTCATATAATTTATCATTAATAAAATTGAGAATGAAAATGGGGAATGTGGCAAAGAGACAACAACCCGATTAAACACGATTAAACAGCACAAGGACACCATTGGGTCTAAAATACACCGAGAAAATCGTGCACCCAAAGGTGTGCTTCAACTGACCCCTAAACAAAAATATGTACTAGTTCAGTGATAATGGACGTCATACTTAACTCCAAAATATATAAAAGAAACTAAAATTTAAAATCATTCAAGACTAACAAAGGCCAGAGGCGTTTAAATAAACTGCAAATATATGCATACATGCATATCTACGTTAACTTTATTCATGTATTACTAGCCAACCATCCACCAGGTACACCACGTTACGAGGATGTGAGCTACTATACGCTTGGAAGGACCACTTGATATCGAATGAGTATAATAAGGATGAGTCGCAGTAATTGTTCACTATGTCTATGTCTAAGGTCTTTTGATCAATTGTATAACCAGGTTGCGATAATTTAGGTCACCGTTGTTTTTTTTTTTTATAAATTTTTGTTATTCATAATATATCAAAAGGTCGGATGTCTGCCCTTCCACAAAAATAATGTAGTGTCCTCATCTCCCCTATCCCAAACATCCTACTTTGAAATTCGCGTTTAATTTTTGCACCTGCAAATAGGGCAATACATGTAACTGTACTCTTTTAACGATATAAAGAAATACGGGTTTTACATATCATTTCCCATAATTTCAATGATGTTTAATGATATGTGTATACAGTATATTGAAGAAAAAAGTAAGATTATTATCTAAGATTTTCGACCTAAATGTACCTTGTGATTATATAGATGCTCCATTCAGAATGTCTCGTTTATCTTTTTTAAATTTTCTTATGTGTTTCAACAGACAATAGACGATATCGTTGTTTTACAGACGAATTTCCACGTGTGATAGCAAGTTAATAAATTTTATATGGAAATTTCCAATGTATGAGTAAACATGATATATATATTATATAAATATTATAGGATGGAAAATACAAATCTATAAATAGATTCTAAATTTAACTCCGACATGACGAAATTGGGTTTTTATCAATATACATGTATTTTATACATATCATTACACATGCTTAAAATTGCAGGAAATATTATGTAGAACGCATATTACATGTAAATTAATATAATTGCATCTTACAGTTACATGTTATTGCCTTATTTCCATGTGCAAAAATTATACATGCCAAATTGTGCATGAATGATCTCACTTAAATTGATAACAGTTAGTCTGCTGCCAATTTAATTATCAGCTGATTGTGATGTTAATTGGTCTAAACGTTTCTCAATTGATCCAGAAGGAGCAACAGTCATGTGACAATTTAAATGCTTATAAATCCTTAAATATTAAATTAGAATATGCTTGAAAATTTAATTGCATGCTTACTTACTGTATATATATTACTGTATAGACAGGTACATAAATAGTCGTTATTGACAAGCTTGACAATGTTACGATCTGTTAATATTTGTATATTCCGAAGGCATACTGAATATTTTACGGAGGGAACCAACCTTATAACTGAACGTTGGTGATGTGAAATAAGAATATTGTCTCTGTTATGATATCATGCATGTTTATATATACAAGTCTAAGAATTTCCAAAATAATCTATTTTAGGAGATGGGATTATTAACAGACGACAATGTCTTTGTTTACATCTTTATGGTCACGCGAGTGTTAGCGAGGGCGGAATTTATCCTCAGTTAGTTTAAAGGTCGTGAATTGGTAAAAGAATGGTTTAAACTTAGATAAAACACATACAACTTTTCTGTTTCTTTATTAATGAGAAAATAAATTGTCAATCTATAACAGGTTGGGAACAACCCCTATAATGAGGGGTAATGTAATGAATATCCCTTTTATCATGGGTACATTTCAATTGTTAAAAAACATTGTTTTTGTAAAAACCAAAAAAAAAAATGTACAAATGAGCACATATTTATATTATCTGAAGAAATTTTTCCCAAAGAACTATATATATATATACATCTTTCTGGTGTTATATGGTCAAAACATGTCCAAGAATTGTGTAATATTCCTGGACTTGTATCTTCTTTTAAAATAAAATGATGGGGTCCCTCTTTAAAATAAAATGGTTCCAAATATAATGAATTCCCCTTGCTTATTAGTTATCATATTAGCATATAGACCATGACTTATCATCATGCATCTTCCATATCTGCCTGTAAATCGGTTACATGTAACTCCTCCTTTTTTTTCTCTTTCAATTATACATGTATGTCCGCTTAAGCTTGTCGGTATTTGTAATTTCGGAAAATCGGAAAAATGAATTGTCAGAAATGTCTCAATGTAACCGGATATCATGCACTCTTCATGATCTATCTGTCTGATGTAAATAAGAAACACCTAATCGGGCCACCACCTTCGTCACTCAAGTGGATCTTCATGCAATACAAAGAATTAAGATTAAGTTAAATATAAAAAAGTTCTCCGGGCGCACGTGATATCCCGTAAAATATTTCTAATACGTATACGTCAACGCACCTGCTACGTTGTACGATTGGATACGTTTTATAGTGACCGGTCTTTTATACCAATACGACGTTTGCTTAGGTGAAATAAGTTCAAAACACCAGTTCTGGACTGCATATATTACAGGACCTACCTATGTATGTATTGTTAATTTGTATTCGCCCTTAACATTGATGAAATATTTGCCACTGGCCCCTTTACTGGACTCGAGGATATGCGTATCTGCTTTTCACGAGCATTACAAATGCACGCTCAACGAATTGCTGTGATTTTGTCATTGGATTTTAAACATTATGATATTTAATTAAAAACATTTAGCAGAACTTGGCAAACCAAAAGGAAATTAAGGTCCCCAATACTCTTCAACCATGCACTTAATTTGGTCTTTTAACTTTTTTCAAGCGTCACTGATGAAACATTTGAAAACGAAACGCTCGTCTGTAACAATAAAATGGCACTCCTGATATATCTGTGATGAGTTTATTGATATCGATACGTAGATCGAAGTAAAAGAAAATTTCCAGTTATAGTTCTTTTAGATTGACCTATCAGTAGCTATGTGTCAATCTTACAAAGATTGGGGCAATTATTATATTAAATAAATTACTGAAAATCAGAAATCTTAATACTGAATTTCACCGCAGGACCTAAAATGCATGTAAGGGGTGTATAAGTCCCGCATTGCGGACAGCTCTAGTTTTACTTTATACATGTCTGGGGGGTATAAGTCCCGCATTGCGGACAGCTCTAGTTTTACTTTATACATGTAAGGGGGGGGGGGGGGGGTATAAGTCCCGCATTGCGGACAGCTCTAGTTTTACTTTATACATGTAAGGGGGGAATAAGTCCCGCATTGCGGACAGCTCTAGTTTTACCTTATACATGTCTGGTGGGTACAAGTCCCGCATTGCGGACAGCTCTAGTTTTACTTTATACATGTAAGGGGGGTATAAGTCCCGCATTGCGGACAGCTCTAGTTTTACTTTATACATGTAAGGGGGGTATAAGTCCCGCATTGCGGACAGCTCTAATTATACTTTATACATGTCTGGAGGGTATAAGTCCCGCGGACAGCTCTAGTTTTACTTTATACATGTCTGGGGGGGGGGGGGGGGGGGTATAAGTCCCGCGGACAGCTCCAGTTGTACTTTTTACATGTCTGGTGGGTATAAGTCCCGCGGATAGCTCTAGTTGTACTTTATACATGTCTGGTGTTGGTGGCAATTGGTATCTGTTGTACAGTAAAAACTAATCATGTGACTCCTTTATTTTGTTAAAAAATTGTTAAATCTCCCCCACTTTAAGATCAAAATTAATATATTTCCTGCACTAATTTACCGCAGGGTTGCCTTATAAAACTACTCGGAAGACATCAATGTTTCACAACAGTGTTTTCTTATCAAACTACTCGGAACACTTTACTTCTGTTAAGTGCAATACAATCCTATGTCGTTATTTGTTGTTTTTAGGACGCTCTCTTTTATTTGATAAAGGAGTGTTTAAATAGATATAAGAAGATGTGGTATGAGTGCCAATGAGACAACTCTCCACCCAAGTCACACATGTGAAAGCTCACCTACAGGCAAACAACCCATAATTGTAAAATATAAGGGCATACACCACAAGCACGGGGACACATTCTACATGTCTAGAAAAGATCATATTTCTTTCTGTCTATTTTTTCTCTTATTAACTTATATATGTGGGTTTTATATTACAGAGAATGTTTTATATTTGTCTAGTATGCTCTTCATTTTGATTATCAATAAGTTTCGCGGTATAATTAATATCCATTTCCTGCGTCCTGTGAATTCCATGACTTGTACCTGTACGAGATGTCCTTGTCACTTTGTTTTTTCACCTGTATCTGATTTGCTGATTTTCCAAACGTTTTTTTAGCCTTTGTAAACATATCTATGATCAAGAGATTCGTTAGAAAATGAAATATGTGATTTGGTTGTAGAGACTGACATGATTGTTTCTACGTGTTTCAGCATCACTACGGGATTGGTATATGCTGCAAAAATCACGTGACTGCATTTGAAGTGACCATTTAGTTTTATATTTATTTCTATTTCAATTGATTAAGTTTTCCCATAGAATATGTATCATTGGTCTCCACTCAGAGCAAAGTTATGTATGTTTTACATTTCCATTTGTTGTGAAAATAAATTGTATTCCGATCGTCCTGAAAATGCATGAAATATTTGTCACTGGGCGTTAAGCAACCAGCAATCAATCATTATATTCAAAGAGGAATCCCTGACCATGATTTTTCCCACCACTCAAGTCCACTGTCCAAATAAAATGACAATTACGTAATGTGTATTATACATTAAGTTTTTTTCTGATTTTTCTTTAGCAAAAAAATTGTCTAAAATCTCTGCTATGTAATTCAACTAGAGCTTTCAGTAACTGCGAGTACTCTCAAATCGTACTTTCTTGTTATTTGACCTGTTGATACAATTTGTAATGTATTTTTGTTATTTAATGTTTACTTATTAAGTGTTATATCTGATCTCACTATTTTTAATATTTACCACCTTTGATAAGTGTTTAGTATGACGATAAATTTTCACTTCTGATTTCGAACTATGAACAACAAAATTATTTATTTTGTAAAAAATATTTCCGTACTCCATGTATACCTTACAACAAAATTATTTTTATTTACCTGTGTACGTTATTTTATTTGGCGGCATTTTGTCCAAGGTTATGGTTGTCTTTCTGATATTGTTTTACATCTTACCCCCTTGTTTTATTAATTTTGTATTTACATTGTGTCATAGATCAAATTTATTCGTTCAGTGTATGTTCACTTGTTTTTGTTAATATGTCTTTTGATTGAGTTAAGCCATTGCAATTGATATTTTATAGTGTGTCTTTCTATGTTGTGATGTTACACTATTGTTTCAGGTTAGGGTGAGGGTTGGCGCCTATTAAAACGTTTAAACCCGCTGCATTTGTGTGCACCTGTCCTAAGTCAGGAACCTGATGTTCAGTGGTTGTCGTTTGTTGATGTGGTTCATAAGTGTTTGTCGTTTGTCGTTTTTTTTTATATAGATTAGACCGTTGGTTTTCCTGTTTGGATGGTTTTACACTAGTCATTTTTGGGGCCCTTTATAGCTTCCTGTTCGGTGTGAGCCAAGGCTCCGTGTTGAAGGCCGTACTTTGACCTATAATGGTTTACTTTTACAAATTATGACTTGGATGGAGAGTTGTCTCATTGGCACTCATACCACATCTTCTTATATCTATGTACACTGTACATACTTTATACATAATGTAACGTGATAAGTTCAAGGTATTTTTTTTTCAACAACTTATTAGTTGATATATTTTTAAATATCAAATAAATTTGTTTTGAAATAGTCTTTTACAAGTATGAAGTGTGACGTAACAGGAAAACCGAATTATGGTATTATAGTATAAGTGATCAGCAACCGGTTATATTATTAGTGAAAGATATCTTTAAGATCTCAAGTGGTATTAGTTTGTAGAATAGAATTGCATCATCAATAGAAAATTACATACTTTTGTTTCTCATTTAAACTGAATGAATTAACTTTTACTTTCAAAATAGGTAAAATGCAATATAAGGTAATAATTGTTTTGTTCAAAATTTGTTGGTCAATAAAAATAAAAGTGAAGTCAGCTTTCAGAGACAGAATAAACAACTTCCTTACATAAAGTACAAAGCGTTCTTGCAAAAAAATAAATGCTGTTTGTGTACATTATATTTTAAATTAGATATTGAATAGTTGCATGTTTTGCTGGGTATGTTGATTTGTGTGCAAGTAAAAATAACTGCTTTATATCTTGTTTTACATCTATATATTAATGAGGGTCAGTTTAGACATACACTTTGCGACAAAATCTTGGAACTGTAAATTCATTATTTTTGCGATACTTTTATAAAAGGAAAAAGGCGTCCCCAAAATTAAACTCACATTTAAAGGTGTAGATAGTTATCAAAGGTACCAGGCTTATAATTTAATACGCCAGACGCGCGTTTCGTCTACATAAGACTCATCAGTGACGCTCAGATCAAAATATTTATAAAGCCAAACAAGTACAAAGATGAAGAGCATTGCATTTAGAGGTGTAGGTGCGATAAGGACTTTATTTGGCCCCCAATATCTAATCTATTATTTGAAGTCGGAAAGTTTCTCACTGTGACAAAACAAAAATTTGAGAAAGTCAATGAAAGTAAAATTGAACGATTTTCGTAGAACGATTCTACGCAAGCATTGACATTTACAATATTAATACCCAACACATAGACTTTGGATAAATTTTAACGGAATCTCCTTGTTTGTAGCAATTTGGGCAAAGAAAATTGAGCGCATAGTTCGAGAGCCTAAATACATTTGTACTAGTATTTAAATTAGATGCAGTATACATTATATATACTAATTTGTGATATCAAACAAAATGTAAGAAATCTTTTATGTCTACTCATGCGATTCATGTTTCCGTTCTTTATAACCAATTGAAATTGGCCTGCTTTCCAAAAATGTGGTTGAAAATTGAAATTAATGCTTATTGTTACGTCATGAAATGAACGCTGATACGTAAATTATGTAAACTATTTATTCTATCTAGCCATTATTCTAACTATAAATCATTGTGATAACAGCCATGATATACACACTTGAAATTCAAGCAAGAAGAAGGGTCAAGTGAGGGGCCTCCTTCAAAAGTTCTTTGGATGCCATCATTATTTGGGCGAAAGTTATGGAAAAGTAATAAATTACCATAAATAAGTTTCCTTGGTTGTAGACACAATTATATCCTCGTTTTCTTATTTGTGACGGACGTCACCGATTACGATTCTTTACTGAATTTTATCTTGCCATGAACAACACGACGGGTGCCACTCCGGAACTGTTTACCTTTCCGGATACACAAGGATCTATAACTTGTCATGGTGTAAACTATATACCGATTATCAAATCAATATCTTAAGCATGACGAAAAAAAATGCGGAAAACTGATGATTTGAGTGATTTTGCTAAGTCCAAGGACCATAACTCTGCACAAAATCATCAGACCGGAACAAAATTCAAACTTTATCTGTAACTTGTCATGATAAAACTATAGAACAAATATCAAGTCAATATCTTGAAGCATGACGAAAACAAGTGTGGAAAACTGATTATTTAAGTAAATTTTCTACCATAACTCTGCACAAAATCATCAGACCGGAACAAAATTCAAACTAGATCTGTAACTTGTCATGATTAAACTATACACTAGTTATCAAATCAATATCTTCAAGCATGACGAAAAAAAGTGCGGAAAACTTATTATTTGAGTGAATTTTTTAAGTCCAAGGACCATAACTCTGCACAAAATCATCAGACCGGAACAAAATTCGAACTTGATCTGTAACTTGTCATGATTAAACTATACACTAAATATTAAATCAATGTATTCAAGCATGAAGAACAAAAGTGTGGAAAACTGATTTGTCGGACTGACGGATGGACAGACAGACAGACTTCGTCGGTAGGGGGACTAAAATAAAATTGTAAGGATAGGGATACTTAGTTCGAGGTAAAATATCTGTTCATAATGGCTAGGGATAACATAAACTAAATTTACTCTGATACATGTTTTTATGCCTGTCCAAAATCTCGTCTTTAGTTATATCTAAATGTTTTAAGTATTTTAAGGAATTTGATGTTCTAGACAAATTGTTGATTTTCTCAGTCAAAGTTTTTCACACTTTTTTCAGACTTTGGGCGATTTAGAGCTTGACATATTGTATTGACATCCGTATTTTGTTAAAGACCGATGGTTTCTCTTGTATGTCGTGTCGCTGGATTGCTGTCTCATTGACGTAAACCATGACCACTTCTTGTTAAAACTGCATGTTCAGAAGTTGGTTAAAACGCGAATTTACAGCGATAAAGTTTCTGAAACATTCAAGAAAAAAAATCAAAAACACAAGAAAAAAACACATTCTTGTTTAATCTTATAATTCTTTACATTCTGACATGTGTAAAATTATTTACAAATAAGTTTGAAAGTCTTTGGTTAATGCAGTTCAGATCTTCATCTTTAACGCATTTACTCTTTGCATACATATCGATGTGTTTTCGTTGGTTTTGTTTCGTCTTTTGTCGATGTACCATGTGTACTAAACAGAAAAATCTGTAAAAGTGTAAGTACAGATAGTCAAACTTTTAAGAATAACCATTCGGCCACACAGAAAACTGTACATTTATAATAGTCCACTTCAAATACAAGCCCGCTTATGTTTTGTTTTTTTGGTTTACATAACCTCTTTCGATCTTAAATATGATAGATGTTTAAATCTATCATTTCTTTTTTAAATGGTATAACTAAGTAGCCTTCTTCTTTCTCTTGTCTGATACTGGTGCCTTTTCAGCATAACTGGACCTCTTTCATTCTCGCCGGGCAGTTTAATCTTTATTAATAAGTTTGTCCTGTAAATGTCATGTGATATGTCTCAAATTGATCCCTTGTTTGACTGGTTTCGTACGCTCTGAATCTGCACTTGTCAGTAATATTAAACTATAAACTGTTAGATGCAGGAATATCCAAATTATACAACACAGCAATATTGAATCTTCGGATTTATTATCCTTTCATAATCTGCAGGCCAAACAACCAGGTTCATAATTGTACGGCGGTTGTACAAAATCCGATTTTCATCTTCATATTCACGAGATTCTCCTTCGGAATCTAGAACCTTAACTCGCACAAGCAATGACCGCAGTTTGAGAACTACATTAACAATGCCCGAAAACAAAATTTCAGATATGTTAGTCGGAAATATTCTCCGTATCGATCCCGATCGATTCTGTTTGTCCGTTCATCAGTTGTAGTTCAATATCATTTGCATTAGGAATTTCTCCATTTATGGTTCGACTTTGCCGTTTATTTAATATGTAAATTGAGAATACATGTATTCTTTTTCTAAGGCCTTTCACGTTATATAATACAATTGCTGCTATAACTAATGTTACAACAATCGCAATAATAGAACCTGCTACTATACCAATATTATTTGTTTCATATTCAGTTGTTTTAGATAGTTTCGGTACAGATACGTTAGTCCGGTTTCCGTCATTTTTATTGTCGGAAGGCATAGTCATAACTGTATGACTTGTAACTATATCGGTAGTTTTATTTTTGTAAACACTTATTCAACGAGTTTTCCACACATTTGAAGACGTAGTAGATCTTGTTTTGAAATTATTATGGGTTAACCTTTCTTTTAGCTGCACGGTTGGTCCTTTTGTTTTCCACACATTTGAGGACGTAGTAGATCTTGTTTTGAAATCTTTATGGATTAACCTTTCTTTTGGCTGCAAGGTTGGTCCTTTTGTTTTCCAAACATTGTTTGGTAACTTAAATACATTCTTGGATTTAAATACGCCTTTAGAAGAATGTTGTTTATTAGTATTTAATTTAGATTTGGAAAGGTATTCTGACCTATTGATCTCTTCTCTACCTTCCCAAACATGGTCTGGTAATTTAAATACATTTCGGGATTTTCTTCTCAGGGGACGTGCTTTCGTCAAATGATGTGGTGTAGAAGTTGGTATAAAGTTCAATCTATGTGGAGATTCGTTTTGTAATCTTGATTCTGATAATTCAATTTCCTTGTTTTCCAATGGATACTGTTGGCTTGCAGGAAATATTAAGACAATGCATATAATCTCTCTAATCATGGTTTTCTGTAACGAATATAAGCACTTATCATATAAATATAGTCTAGCATGATAATGGCATAAAATGAAACACAGTACTTAGCAATCCTCAAATACATGTACTGTTGATGCATTTATTTGTGTGGGTACTAATTTTTGTGGATTGAGAAAAAATGTGTTTGCGTAGGCTTTTGATTGAACGGTTTTGCAAAAACCTGCACACAAGCCTATAGAAAATTTGTACTTCGTTGAACATTTAAATTCGTGCTTCATCTATAACCCATGAAGTCCACGGAAATTGGTATCTCTCGAACGAATCCACAGTACATCTAAGTAAACTTTATTCATTGTATTACTTACCAACCTATCCGTTAGATTTACCAAAAGATATTATATCTACATAAATTTATCTGAAATACTTCGAATTCTTACGTTATTTAAAAATAAAGTTGTCAAAAGTATGAATCATATTAAATGATAATAATTAAAGACAAGTCACAAATTGTCGTTCTTTTTTTTTGTTCCATTTTCTGTAAGGTATAAAAGGACATGTAAGTATGGCCAATCTTTTGTTATACAATGTAGCAATGCATTGAATCGTAACAGAATAATCCTCTCACATGGTTAACTTCTACAAGTATTTTTACCGTATTACAAAGCCCCTTTCCATTTGAATCAATGAAAAACAAACTACGTGGTCATTTGAAATAATCCGTCTTTTATGTATTCGAATGTTTTATATTATACATGTAGTGAGATTTTAATAAAATAAAGAATCTGAATCTTAATCGAAGTAGATGTCGATTTTTTTGCCAGTCGGAAATGCATCCAAAATTTATTAAATCTAGATACCTGTCCATAAATAGAGTAATCATGATACATGTAGCTATATAGGTTATTGTATGTCAAAAATATATGGTATATGGTATGTATTTTTGTTATTCAAAATATATGAATAGGGTTGGATGTGGTGATGGATGTCTGTTCTACTACACACATATTTTAGCCCCCCCCCCCCCCTTTCTCCCTTACACACAGCCTCTCAAACTACAACAACCAACGAGACTTTTAATTAGCATATATGCTTAAAATTTGTTGTTAATCTTTGTCATTCATGATGTCAAGATAAAGTACATTACAGACCCTCCTTTTGCATAAATGAAGAACGAATAAATAAGGCACAAGAACTTGTGCTAGGATATATATTAAAAGTTTGCAATTATTTGTATTTCCTTACTTTCGCTTTAATTTGTCATGTTGTTTACATTTTGAAAATGGGACAGTTATTGGAGATACTAACGATTTATTACGATATTTTAACATATTTTTTAAGGCAATTTTAACGAATGTTATATTAATGAAAAAACAACAATTAAATTTGATGAAACAGATTGCTAGTATAAACATGTAGACATAAATATTTGACCTAGCTACCTTAATTGTGGTTAAATTTAGAATCTCCTTTTTGAATGTTTCTTAATAATTATTATTTATGTTATATTTTAGTGATGCTATGTGTACCAATATTTTGGTTAAAAGACGATCTTCAACGTGTGATACCAAAATAATGAATATCTATAGGGATTTTCATGTATACATACATACATAATGAGTAATTGATACAATTATAGAAAAGGAAATTACAGATCTATAAATAAACATATTCAACTCCGGCATGAATTCTGAATCACTCTAATTCATCAAAGGCAGATTTAGGGGGACCCTTCTTATGGAGCTATGTGTAAATTATATGGTTAATGCATATACTCCTAACCCTTTTTAAAATACTGGGTCCCAAACTGAGCAGGATAACAATTTATCTAACAATTAATTGTCATGTTGGTCTATTTATAGATGTATAAAATTCATCTATGGCCTATTCATCAATCAATACAGTGGGATCTACGACGAAGAAACTTCTTACAGACTACAGAGATGCATCAACATAGGAGCACCGACCAACTTTTAACTTTTGTTCGAATACCATATATATATTTTTTGTCTGGCAAAAGATTGTTTTGTAATTAGACTCATATACATGTCATATTTTCGATTACATACAGGGAACAGATTTTTTTTGCATAACCAATATTATTTTTCTTTTTTCTTTTTAAGAAATTTTCAAATTTAGCAATCAATTTTGTTGTTAACCATGTACACCTCGGCTCCCTTTAAAACAAGTAACAACTTTTCTTTTATAAGATGTAGATGCAGAACATACCCCAAAACACGCTTCTAGAAAAATGAATGTTTAGAGCCAAAGTACAAAAGAAGTTTTTAAAAAAAGCTACGGGGGTTGCAAAGTGGTACCATCCAATCGGCAATATTCGAGTTTGAAATTAATTACCTATTGGGAGAATTAAGACATGTACGAATTAAATGAATATTAATATGTTTACTTTTATTTTTAAATACTAATTGAAAATACATTTGATGTCATAATAATCATATTGTGAACAATTTAAACAACAATTAATGTTTTACTTACTGATTATAGAACGTTTTTAAACCTTGATGATGTGAAATGAAAATGTTGTTTATGCTATCATGTCTATTTATATATATACATCTAAAATTTCCCAAAATAATCTATTTAAGTAGAAGGGATTTTACCAAGGTCGGATACTCGTCAAGGTTGTATTTGTTTTTATTATCATACGAATGTGGGATTGGCGGAGCTTGTTCTAAAGTAGTAATCGCGTCATGAATTGATAGACGAGTGTATCAAACTTAGCTAAATCATATTAACTTTACTGTGTATTTTTTGAGAAAACAAATCTTCAATCTATAGTATAAGTGAAATTTAAGCACCGTTTTAATGTTCATTCATACGTTCTACGCATTACTCATGTTAGGGAGGCTCAGCTACCATTTGATTTTTATGGGGGGGCTAGGATGAAATTTGAAATAAGGCAGGACAGGAGTTTTGAGTAAATAAAAAAGGCAGGATGACAATTTAGTTAAATAAAAAAGTCAGGATAAACTAAAAAAAAAAAAGGCAGGACCGAATAGAGTGAAAAATAAAAAGCCAGGACAACATTTTTCATCCTAGCCCCCCCCCCCCCCCCCCTAAAAATCAAATGGTAGCTCCCTTACTATGGTCGTTTGGTTTTAATTCCCTTATTCACATTTAGATCTCGGTTAATTATCGTGCATCTTCCATGTATGCTTGTCAACTGGACATTTGTCACTTCTCTATTTTTTTCCCTTATTGATATGCCCGCTTGCCTGTATATGTGCAATATTGATGTTGGAATGGCGTTCAGTTTTCTTCCGTTTTGATGGAATTTACAAAACTTGACAACGATGGGTCGTTTTTATCTTGAATCTTTCTAACGTTGTATTTTTACATTTTTCACATTTTTGTTTTCAAATATCGTTAAAAGAGAGGCGGGATAAACCAAAGGGAAATACAAACTCCTAAGTTAAAAGCAAACCGTGAACGCCCTGGCAAATAACGTATAACGACGAATAAACAAACTAAATTTCTAACACAGAACATGGATAATTAAATGCTAGGCAACACGACCCTCCCTCCCCCCGCCCCCCCCCCCCCCCCCCCCAAAAAAAAAAAAAAAAAAGAAAAAATCGGTGCTGATGTCAGTTGCTCCGAACGGCTTTGCTTACCCGTCTTGTTCCACATGTGGCACAAGCCGTGTTCAGTTGCTATTGTCTGTTTTATCTTACATCAGTTTAAAGACAACTTCATGTGTGTATCTAATACATTGGCTCAGCGTTCCCTATGAAGGTAACTCCAGAAAAAAACGCTTCCAATGCATATAATTCGTAAATTATCTGCCGGGAACTTTAGTGAAATAGAAACTATTTTTTGATTTTTCCTCCATTGGAATGGTTCGATATATTCATGTTGATCAAAGCTTGCTATTGATAAATTGTGTCTATTTTATTTACAAAAGATGCGTGAATTCGGAAAAATGTTTCTTCGCTGTATTTTATTTGATCAGGTATTTATGTTTCTTAAATCATCAAAAAGAGAGGCGAAAGATCCCCAAAAGGACATTCAAACTCATAAATTGAAAATAAACTGACAACACCATGACAAAAATTGAAAAAGACCAAAACGACAAACAACAGTATACAAAACACATCATAGAAAACTAAACACTGAGCAAAACGAACCCCCAAATAAGTCCAGTCATGTGCAAAGCCTTAAGGTAATTTGATTACACAAGTATTCTTAATTTCGTTTCTTTAAATTGCGAATGTTGTATACATCAGAAACTCGACATGAAATCGAATGAAACAATAATGCATTGATAATGTGCATATATTACTCAATCATCGCTCAAAAAGAAAACAAAATATTTAATTTAGAAATTATCAGCAGAAAAAACGAAAGTTAGTGATGAAAGTTCTAAAACGCAATAGCAAAGCATTAACATATCAAAAATTTAATCTGAGTAGTTTAATGCGTATCTATATTAAACAAACGATGCAAGAAAATATAATGGGATGCTTAAAATTAAAATAGTAGGTGCATCATTATGATATATAATCAATAATATGATAATTCACATATTAATGATAACCTGAGTCTATTTATAATGTTTGGTAGTTTAACACTGCACAAGGGAGTTGTTACTCCTTTATTCATTTTAGTGATACATTTTATGTCAATTATATTCTTCTGAAAATTTTCTGTTACCTAGTATTTTGTATTGATCATGGTGATATAAATAGACATTTCGTTAAATATCATAACGATTCAAAATAAATGAAAAAACTTCACAGCCGTTTATTTAGTTTTCATTTCTAATGTTCGTAAACGCAGATGCACATACCCTTGAGTTCCAATCTCTTACCAGTGACAGAACCTGAATTTTTAAAAAGGGAGTCCTAAGGATTTAACCGCAAAATTAAAGTTAAAGGTCATAAAAATGCACTGAAAATTCACAAATGTTCTGCTATCATTGGTAAAGAGAGACTTTCGCCCTCTCTCTCCCTGGTCAATACACTGCTTGCAGATTGTTTTTTCTTAACTTATACCTACATCTACATCTATAGATGAACAATATGTGCATGGGCACAAGTAGCTTATACAAGTTTTAAAACACTCTATGTAGACTAAGATAATAATTTAAAAATACACATAGTCTACTTTTGTGGTAAACGCTGTTTGAATAAAAATTAGTTGCATTCAAGCACACTAAAGTATCTACTCCCTAATTGAAAAAAATCAGCCTCCTCCAAATATTTGCTGCAAGTCTGCAGCGAACACAGAATCTGTATTTGCGACATGTTTACTGCAAATGAGTGTTTGCTGCAGATCTGCTGCAAGCATTTTATGCAAATTAATCTTTCACCAGCGTATTCGCTGCAGACCTGCGGCAAACATATATTTGCCAATTAATCTTTCTCCTGCCTGTTTGCTTCCAACGTGCAGGAACTACATACATTATACAATTTACCAATGTCATGTTGTGTACACATCATATTATCTATATTACACAGCAAATTCTGAAAAAGTTAGGTTATACATACATGCATACAATAATTCAAATACTTAAGAAATATTCTTTATAAAGCACAAAAATGTCAGTATTCACCTCTGAAACTAACAAAACCTTTAAATAGACTTATTAAGAAGGGATATAGTTACGATACTGTTGTCAGGTCATTAAAGATTGCATATTTTGGCGTTGATATTGATTCACTTATAGGGTCTTTGCATCTGCACTAAACACATTTATTTAAAAACCAGTTGTTGGCATGACACGGGTTATGTTCTTCTCATATATGTTATGATGGTATGATACTAAACCCCTAACGGGAAGGATTGTGCCTGATATTCATATGATGAAGACATAATCTTTCAATTAGTTTAATTGAAGTCTGGAGCTGGCATGTCAGTTAACTGCTAGTAGTCTGTTGTTATTTATGTATTATTGTCATTTTGTTTATTTTCTTTGGTTACATCTTCTGACATCAGACTCGGACTTCTCTTGAACTGAATTTTAATGTGCGTATTGTTATGCGTTTACTTTTCTACATTGGCTAGAGGTATAGGGGGAGGGTTGAGATCTCATAAACATGTTTAACCCCGCCGCATTTTTGCGCCTGTCCCAAGTCAGGAGCCTCTAGCCTTTGTTAGTCTTGTATTATTTTTAATTTTAGTTTCTTGTGTACAATTTGGAGTTTAGTATGGCGTTCATTATCACTGAACTAGTATATATATTTGTTTAGGGGCCAGCTGAAGGACGCCTCCGGGTGCGGGAATTTCTCGCTGCATTGAAGACCTGTTGGTGGCCTTCTGCTGTTGTCTGTTCTGTGGTCGGGTTGTTGTCTCTTTGACACATTCCCCATTTCCATTCTCAATTTTATACAATAATTCAAATACTTAATCATTTGCAAAATTATCATAGCATAATTAAATACCTTTTAAGAAATAATTTAAAGGTTTCTTGTTGTTGAAGTGCTCAAATAAATTGAATATCTTATATACAAAAGAAGGGTTTATTTGAAATGCATTTTGTGCATACAGCTAGTTAAATTAATTTTATCACGAAATTCAACTTGACTTATTGAAACATAATATTTAAAAAGTTACAATCTCCAAACATATTAGACGAGAGAGTACTTTATATTTGTTACATGTTTGCAAATGTTTTTCAAAATTTCATGCAGGTATTTGTGGAGGGGACGAATTTCATAATTTTACAGTTATATGAATAATTTGTACAAATAATGTCTTTGAAAACTAAATATTTAATATCCAACCTAAAATGCCTCCCTGAACACCAATATATAACATGACTCCACACCATAAACATAATAAAGCACAGAGTTTCAAATCTTTATCTTCCAGAAAGTTACCAATAGGCATGCTCAGTCATTTTATGTATTTCTGGCAATTCTCTTGCAAACATATAGAATTGTCAAAGATTTCTGCAATCTAGCTGGTGTCTTGATAATGAGCAAAGTCATAAATTGTTTCACTTTGTTTAAATGTATTGATATCTATTTTGCTTATGCTTATTTTTATGGATTTTAATAATAAATCTTAACTGATCCTTTGCTACCATCACGATAATATCCTATCAACTTGTTGATATAAATAAAAAGATGTGGTATGAGTGCCAATGAGACAACTATCCATCCAAGTAACAATGTGTAAAAAGTAAACAATTATAGGTCAAAGTACGGCCTTAAACGCGGAGCCTTGGCTCACACTGAACATCAAGCTATAAAGAGCTCCAAAAAGACTATAGTAAAACAATTCAAACAGGAAAACCAACGGTCTAATCTATATAAAAAACGAGAAACGACAAACACTTATGAACCACACCAACAAACGACAACCACTGAAAAACAATCTCCTGACTTAGGACAGGTGCATAAAAATGCAGCGGGTTTAAATGTTTTAACAGGCGCCAACCGTCACCCCTGTAACATTGCAACATAAAAAGACACACTATAAAATATCAGTTGAAATGGCTTAACTCGATCAAAAAGATATATAAAAAAAACAAGTAAATATGTATTCTAATGAGTAGGATACTGTGTTGTTTTTGATTGAATCATCCGATG